GTAATCTAGGGATCTTATATCCTCACAAAATTACTGTTGTTACCGTAATTTTGTGATAATAGGCCATGCGCGCCTGATTTTCATGAGTGCTCTAGAAATATTGTCACAGATTTCATAGGAGCATCCCCACTCTACACTCAGATAGGTCCATCCATCAAGTGTATTCTACAGTGCAATATACCACCAACAAAAGGCTATGAATTATTGGATTAAGAGTTTAATAATTCAACCTCATATTTCTTGTAGTCTTGCACTATATACACACACCATAGGAAGGGACATAATTTAATAGTGCATATTTTTATCATATTAATAAATTATTATTACCCATATAGACCTACTTTGTGGGATCTCCAATCACACAAGTTGAGTTACCGTCATTGCTGATATATGTCAATTTGGCAAAGTTCTCATTCCCCTCGATGTTTCAGTTATAAATCAAAGGATCGGCCAAAACCTCTTTTGATTATACATATATGTATGAAAAAAATTCTCATCTCTAAGTAGTTGCTTTATCACATTATGTCTTAAAAAAATGTGTCTACTCTTCCCATTGAAAGATTTATTTTCTTATAATGGCTATTTCGCCCTGGCAATCACAATTCATCAACACAAATATTGTCAATTTAATTTCTAGTGGAATATTCACCAAGAAGTTGCTTAATCAGCCTCATTGCCAGGAAACTCCGATACCAGAACACTCACCAAAAGGTGATCACACAATAACTAGCGAGTTTTTCTCATCTAAATCAGAGATTCAATATCATCAGTGTATCCTTCTAATATAGTGAAAAATCCATATACAGAATACTAACTCATGGTATTTCTTAAATAAGGCACAAAATTATCTCAAATAAAATGAGACTTGACTTCTGTAGGCATGCAAAATTTATTGGATTTAAATTTAATAAATAATTTGATTATTTTAAATATATTAGTCCAGATAAATATTAAGGGCTAATATAATTAGATTAATTACTTAAGTCCAATAAATATTGACAAGACTAGCCCATTTGGCAATAAATAAGATTTAAATCTTATTAGCCCAATAAATATGCACACTTCATCAAGCCCAAGATGTTATCTTCCTAGAAGCCCAGTTTGGTGCCACGTATCATATGATGTGGCACACCAAGTCAAGCGGAAGAGCCAATAAGATCATGCCACGTGTCAAAATGATAAGGCATGCCAAGTCACATTAAAAGGCTAATGAAACCACGCCATGTGTGCAAGTGACATGTTCTGGCCAATCAAATGCGGCCTTGTCACACTTCGAGTTGATTGATCAGAAAGAGGTTGTTCTTATCATAACTCTTCCCTCTTACAACTATAAATAGAGGTCTTCATAACCCATAAAAGACACCAGAAGTTATAACAAGAAGCAAGAGAGAACTCGCGGATCAAACGCCGGAAATTTCTCTACAAGTTTCAAACTTCAAGCAATCAAGTTCAAGTTCAACAAATCAAGTTCAAGCTCAAGCGACGAACAAATCAAGATTCAAGGAGTACGAGTTCAAATCAAAGTTCGTGCTAGTTGAGTTCAAGATCATCGTTCGTGACAACAAATATATATTCAAGATCAAGCTCAAAGCCCCTTGAATTTATTTAGTATTGGAAAGAAGAATCAGAGGATTCATAGAGATAGTACATTCATATTGTTTGAAATAAAATACTACGATTGTTGCAATATTTTTCGGTCTTGATTTTATTTTTCTTGACACAAATTTATTGTCTACAAATTCTAGATAAGTGCCTTTTGAAACATCTTTCAAAATATATAAGGATTTATTTTCTTTTTGTATCTTTCATATTCAAATACCAAGGTAAAATTTTTTAAACATAGAAACAACTTTAATCTCTACACAAATATCTCAAACTAGTAGGAAATTGACAAGAGTGGTTGCTCTGATGGTAAACAACCTCCACTTCCAACCAAGAGGTTGCGAGTTCGAGTTTCCCCAAGAGCAAAGTGGGAAGTTCTTGGAGGGAAGGATGCTCGGGGTCTATTTAGAAACAGCCTCTCTACCCCAAGGTAGGGGTAAAGTCTGCGTACACACTATCATCCCCAAACCCCACTAAGTGGGATTATACTGGGTTGTTGTTGTTGTAGTAGTAGGAAACTGGTCATAGTTCGAAAACTTATAATTCAATAATTTCTTCATCACCTAAATGACTAAGAGACCCAAAGCAAAATAACTTTTCATAGCAAAAAGTATAACATATTTTTTATCTTCCAATACAAATTTTCGTCACGATAAATCTCAATTTTGTAAGGTTTTATTATAATAATAAATATTTTTTCTTACTTTTTTCTTCTTAGGATCAGGCTATGTAACTTTGAAAAGATACCTAAAGCCCCACACTTTTAAAAAATTTCAAATTAAGGGATAAATTTCCACAACTCATAAGGAGTTTTATCAATTCTTATAATGAATTTCATTTTATAAATAATTAGCTTCACCCAAAGATTATCACATAGACTTTACAACTCATTAACTAATTTAATAATTCTATTCTTCATGTCATCTCAAATAGAATGAAAATACTTCCACTGAAAATATGTCAAAGACGACAGTCACAATTTTTCTTAATTTAATTTATCTTTTGGTCATTTCGTCCAAATAAATTTAAACATATTATCTCAGGGTTCTCAAGATTTTCAAAATGCATAACCGTACCTTTACTTTCTTTGAAGAAAAAAATAAATGGGTGAAGAATCTTTATACCGCTAGGTAAAATAGAAAAGATGGTCTTGACAATTCATTAGTGGTGTACAATTATGTACTCCCCATTCACAAAGAATACCAGTCATCTTCCTACTGCAATAGAACAACATAAACAATTAATGCAGCCAGTGTAGTAGCATCAATAATAATATTAGCAATATTATTCTCCATAACAGCGTGAAAATATCCTGAAGATTGTTGGGATATTGTTTATGAAGAATGGGAGTTAGCTTGAGGCGTGTCAAGGACATTGCCCTTCAAGATATTTCGGCCATACAATAATAAATAAAATTAGGCGTATCCTCCAGGATTCAACAAGCTCTTCTAGTTATTTAACTGTGAATATAACTAGCAGAAAATTCAAGAAAAAAACCCACCATAAAGGAGGAAGAAGATGATTCATATAGTTATTTTAGAAAGTGTCTTTAGTTCTCTAAAGAGTGTGTTTATATAGACGTTGCTCTAACAGCTAATTTGACTCTATTAAATGCAAAATAATTTACTAAAATAAGTAGTAAAGAAAAGTTTTTCCCAATCAAAATAATGCATATCCCTTTTGAGATACAGCTAATTTTTCCAACACAATCTGGTATCTTCTTATACAAAAATAACTTGTCTTGGCTACGAGCAATCGTAATAGTCATTAAGATTTAAGACCTAATCTATAAGCATAGCAGCCAACAGGGTTACTTCCACTCACTTGGGATATGTTTTTACATCTCTTCATAGAGAAGTTTATTCCACTCACGAGGAGGGAGGAGATGCGTGGCCAGTTTTGAGCACCTCCAGCACGATTGTTTGTCTTATGACCAAGTATGAGATAGATTTACTGAGCTATCTCGTCATGCACAGGGGCGAAGGTACATGATGTAAAGGTGGTTAACTAACCACCCTTCGTCGGAAAATTACACTATATATATTGGTAAAATATTAGAATTTTAGAGATATATAACATATATTGAACACTCTTTATCGGGGAATTTTATTCACTTCTTTTAAGTTTGAATATCCTTGAGGAAATTTCTGGCTTTGGCACTGGTCATGTAGCTTTTTTAATTCCCTCCGAGATTGAGACCGTGAAGAGGTTCATCGAGGGGTTAAATTTTGGTATCAAGATCGTTATAGCTATGCACAGCAGGGTTGCAGGTTAGTCTCCAGAAATAAAAGTTACAGAGCAGTACAAAACAGGGAGAAAAAAAAAGTAAGAAGAAGAAGGAGAAGCAGCAGCACAACAACAATAGTAACAAAATAATAAACAGTCAACATACAGCTAACTACAGAATATATGAGCTTTTACATAAGGGGGATTTCATAGCAATTCATTCTTTCGGACTGATGGAGAAATACAAAACCTGTGGTTTCTAAGGTCAAGTGTGATAGAGCTGCTGAGTACTTTCATTGTTAGGTAGTTTCAGTTTCAAATTACTCCAGCGAGCAATTTAGTTGAAATAAAGTGAACAACATCTAATTAAGTTAGTTATAATTGTTGTATATGTGGATGACAATTCTCATGACAACTCGAGAAGAGCTCTAGACAAAACTTTGTCAAATTGAACATTTATCAAATATGTTCGTATTTACCAACAATCTGTTTATACATAAAAGTTTCTGAGCCTAATAGACAATTCGTTTTGTTTTCTTCTTTATGTTTCCCCTTTTCTGCACCTTTGTGAAAACTCGAGAAGAGCTCTAGACTCGGGCTGCAAATTGAACATTTAACAAGCATAGTCGTATTATACCTAAAAGGTTGTGAGCCTAATAGACAATTCGCTTTGTTTTCTTTTTTATGTTTCCCCTTTTTTGCACACCTTTGAGACAGACTTATTAGCGTTTTCCCTCAAATTCCTAGCTTTAAGCTGGCTGAGTACAGTTTTGGGGCCAAGAGTGCCTTTTGCTAAGGTGCACTTCTGAGTCTACTTCTACTATCTATAAAAAGTACTACGTACTGTAGCATATCATAAGAAATAATTGTTACTGAAAACAAGAATATATTGAATCGAGAAAAGAAAACAGTACTACTATGGAAAAATAACAAAGTCTAAGAACACCCAAAAACTCCAAAACATTAGAAAAAGAAAACAGATGGAGTATATAAAGAGAGAAAACAGTAAACTATACGATGAACTATTTTCATCTGTCTGCCTATCCTATCCTATACTTTAGACTATCTCCTTTGCAGGCTTAAAGCCATTCCCTAGCGGCTTTGGTTCTGCATCATCATCGGCCACGAACTTCTTCCAGTACCAATGCTCTCTCCAAACTTGAGACATCTCTTCAATTGGTATATTCTTTGTTTCCGGCACGTACAAGTAGACAAACACAGTCATTATTAACACAAACGCCGCAAAGAAGATAAATAGACCAAACTTCATCCCACATAGCATCTTCAAGAATATTTGTGCTACTCCGAATGTGAAAAACATGTTCATGGAGACCGTAACACATNATTTTGCTAGTTCCAAAGTTGACCAAATTCGCTATCAGAATCCCAATGGTGATGGCCATTTGGAATAACACGTTGAAAGTCCCTCTGTATTTGTAGGGAGCAACTTCTGACAAATAAATAGGGACAGATTGATTAGCAAATCCGACACCAATCCCCAAAAGAATACGACCTAAGATGAGCATGCTAATATGGATAGCAGCAGCGTTGAGGATGGCGCCTATCAAGAAAAAGAGACCTCCAAGGGCCATAGTAACCTTTCTGCCACGTTTTTTACTAACATGAGAAGCAACAATGGACGCAAACAGGGCAGCCACGTAGAGAGAAGACGTGAAAAGGGTCAACAACTGGCTGTCGAACTTACAGTACTGGTTGGTCGAGGTGTTCAAAGCCTCTTTTTGGTAAACAGACATGAAGAAGCGTTTGAGAAAAGGATCCATGGAAGTAACTCCACCTGAAATTCCAATGTCGTAGCCAAAGATCAAGCCTCCCATGGCTGCCATGATACAAGTCATGGCTACGTACACTGTTAGCTTCCCTGGGTACTCATCTGGATTGTCTCCGCCACCGCCGGCGGCACTTATAAAGTTTCCACCAGCCATGAAGATATAGATTACTATTAATTAAAGAAAGGAAGATTATTAAGATGGTGTCCTTAGGCGTGGAAAGAGAGGGGTATATATAGCTAGAAGTCAAAAACCGAGATCGAATAGGTTTATAACTAGTCGGATTAGGATATCCTTTTATTCTTCTTTTGTACTTATAAATATGTTTATGACTTACCCGCATATAACTTCCTAAGTTGACTAGGATATGGAGTATTTCTTTTCATGTCATAAAAAATATCCGTGTTATTATTTAATCAGGATAAATTATGGGAAATTTAATGTAAAGAAGATATACGAGCAATTTCAAATATAAAGAATCAAACGCTTTTGAATTATTCATAATTACTGCTTTTCTACCCATTAAATATACTGATCAAAAGTCTTGTATTTTTTAACTGAATTACATTTTTAACTTTTTATATAATTTATTATAACTGAGTTACAGTTAATTTACACCATTCGAATAAGGAAAATTTATAAAGTAAAAGCTTCCTTAGTTTTGTAGTCCTAAATATTAGAAAAATAATTAAATTTTAATTTTATCGAATGTAAAATCTATTTTTAAAGAATAAAAAAAACTTTTTAAATTTTTTAAATAATATTCAAAATATGTGATTGTGTTATAAAATAAAATTTAACAAAAGAAAAAAGAAATTACTGTTGATCATGTTAAGGACTTTGGATTCATTCCGCTGGTTGTAAGTCTCGCTTTGTCCCATTACTTAATTTTATCAAATTAGTTCTTACTTGGTTGTAAGGCCATTTCTCCTTGTTTGGCAACCGCTGGTTTCTGGCCAGGTGTTCTTGGAATGCATCGCGATCGCGGGTGGAGAGTCGCGATCGCGAAGAGTAAGCTGGAGCTGAGGGGCCTGTTGTGCGTCGCGTTCGCGAAACAGGCTCCCCGATCGCAAAGGTTCCTGGGCTGGGTCATTACATTAGCGTTTGAAGGTACGCGTTCGCGAAGGGTTGGATTCGGCCGGAGGAGATAGTCTTCGCGAATGCAAAGGTATGTCGCGTTCACGTTGAAGAGGCTGGTGTTTTGTTACGATCGCAAAGGTCTATTTGGTCAGCTGGAGAATTTCTTCTTCGTGATCTCGAGGCTTTGGACTGCGATCACGAAAGGGAATGCCTGGGCAGATTATAAGGTTGCAAGTCGGGATTTTTTTCATTTCAACTCATTTCTCTCTTGCTTGGGCGATTTTTCGGTAATTTGGAGGAAGTTATTCTCACTAGTTGCAAGTTAAAAAGAAGATTATATATGGATTTAGACATGAAATTTTATAGAAATTGTGGAATTTTGGAAGAAAACCTAGAAATTATATTTTTGGATTTTGACTATAAAATTGGACATGGAATTAGGAATAAATTATCTGTTTGAGTCGTGGTATAATAGATAATGTTTATCTTCGAAACTTTTTGAAATCCAGACACGTGGGGCCAAAGGGTTGACTTTGTTGACTTTTCGATCGGAGTTGGGAATTGTTATAAATTGTTAAATTACGAGTATATGAGTATATTTTGATTGATTTACATGTTGTTTGATTAGTTTCGGATAGTTTTCCATCAGTTTGAGGTGTTAGAGAGGCGTTGGAGTAGATTATCGGATTTCAGAGCGAGGTAAGTTTCATATCTAACCTTGTGTGAGGGAAACTGCCCCGTATATGTTATATTTATAGTATAAAAGGAGTAGGGAAGATTTATATTATTAGAAGTTAAATAGGATATTTCTCCCTCCACAAGATATTCAAATTAAATCATGTTTGTACTAGACTCCTTAAGTATGATTCTTTCACCTTTGGACAAAAGTTGCGAATAAAGACACAAGCTGTACTCAGAGATGAATTTAGGAGTTTGTATTAAAACCTAACAAATATCCCTATAAAAATCGTAGAGGATATAATTATTAGATTTAACCGAACGTAAATTCAAAACTTGAGTAATACTGTTAAGAAGAATATTTTACATACCAAGATAATATAGTCATTCATGAATAAACCATTCAAGTGACCAAAATCTTTATCGACTGTAACTATTAAAAGATATTGTGCTAGATAGGGGTGCATTTGCTCATAAATTCTAAGATAAAATCTTAAAAAGGGGAGTAAATCTATCCACATCTCAAATGACATCCTCGCGAAAAGGAGTAAATACATACTATACTATATTTTCTTTTTTCAAGGTTTTAATCCCACTATATTTTTTAAGGTAAATACTTTTAAGATTCATTGTTTATCCTATAAAAACTATGTACTACTAGTCTCTGAAGTTTCACATAACAATGAGTACTAAATTTTTAGGTAATAAAAGTTACAAATTAACTTAGCATTTGAATTTAAAGTATGTCATGAACATAATTCAAATTCAGTGGCTTAATATTTGAACATGAAAGTCGTAAACCAGCAATGAACAATTAAATCAAGTTAGCCAAATATTATTTTCAATTATTATAATTTTATTTTATGAGTTGCAAACATATTAATTGCCCATTTTGTGTGTGTTCCTTTCTACCCTCTTAATTAGTTAATCTATCATTAGCAAAGCTTTGTGATGATACTGATAGGAGAGCAAACTATGCCATAAAAAAATTGTTGCAAGAAAATGCAGTCCCAAATTAAATTCGGAATTAATTTTTGTAGATCTGCATACTGTAATATTAAAGGTCAATACATAGACATATAACAAAAGATGTAAAATAAAGAAAATATAGTCGGCTCCACAAATAAGAATAAATTAAGCACATTATAGACACTTATCATAAACTCGTGTCACCCCATAATAAAGATAAGTCGTCAATTGAGAACACAAGTAGATAAAAAATACTTGAACAAGCTAAGAAAAATATGAATGTTGTGCAGGGGCATGACTGAGTCCCGGAAAGGACAATAATATTTAATCTGTCTTCGAATCCTAAAGAAAGAAATGATATTTCAATCATTTCTCATATTTGGCTAAACCTTAACATCTATATCTATATTATATTAAAAGAAGGCTAGTGAAGCACGTGGTTATGCCAAGTGGCGTAATGAGAACAAGCCACTTCACACTTTTATGGAATCTATTTGTTGGATTCTATTTGTATAACATTGAAAAATAACATTAATTAATATTCTTTTGTATCTAATTAATAATTGAAAAAAATATCTATTAAAAATTGCATGTTAGAGTTGTACGTGACTTACATTATCATATTTGGAGTAATATTATGTGTAAAATAATATCCATGGTTTCCTTTAAAGTGGGAAAATAAAGTAAGCATTAATTAGAGAAAAGAACATAAGGAAGTGAATATTCATGGTTTCCTTAGAGAGGAAATAAAATAAGCATTATCTAGAGAAAATAATATAAGAAAATAGTATTAAACCTAGACAGAACCGATAGTTCATATCCAATGATCCCTTACTATTAAAATAATGTTTATTTTGAATTTTACTTTAGATCTAAATAATTTTTTTTATAAACATATGGTTTAGTTAAATTATTGAATGCCAAATGTTTGTTAATGCAAACTTTATCTGATAAGGTTTAAATTTATTGAGATGAATCTTGCAAATGTTTTGGAAAATGCTTTTTAAGAAGAAAAAAAAAGACTCCTAAAATACCATATTTCTTATGTATCTTTTAGACTATTATTCTTAATAAAAAGAGAATTAGATAAATCATTCAGATAATTAATTAAATATAACAAGGTAATCAAACACGTCAAGTGATGTGAAAAGAAAAAGTTAAAGTACTGTAAAAGTTAATACACAATTAAACAATATAATAAAAATATTAAATTGAGATAAAAATATATTTAAATTAAGATTAAAAAAATTAATTTGAATTTAACTTGAAGGATAAAAGTTTTTAAATTGAAAACTTAAATCTTGAATTGAAGGATAATTTATTTTTTGAATTGAGATTAAAAAATCAAGTTTTATTGAAATAAGCATTATGATACTATAAAAAAAATTAGCGGATCTTATTGATTTTCCTTCATGCTTCATTGTTGAATCCGTAGAGAGCTGAATTTTCTTTTATGAAACATGATCTGTAAGTGTGTAAATACAGTAATTATATATTGTGTATCTATATTTGTTGATAATATATGATATATTATATGAATATGATATTCTTAGGAGAAATTTTAGGGAGTATGAACTTAAACTCATGTATATACACTCTTCTTTTTGGGAATGAGAAAGCAAGACAGATCCATCTAAAAGTTGTGCAATCTCTAATGTATTCCCTTTCCGTTGAAGCGGTGGTATGTTGAATTCTCCTTGCTTTCCTATTTATGAAACTTTGAAAAAATTTTATAACCATTATATGATATTGTTCTTAATGTTTAATTCATTCATTTTCTAGAAGTACATTATTAGTTCTTAAAACAATCAGCATGATTTTCTGGTGAATTTGAATATTGTAAAGTTCATCAAGTTGATATAAAATGAAGGCTTTTTGCTTCATAATTGGATCATATGTATACGCTATATGTATTACAAATAATTATTGTATTTAAATTTTAAGTCTAATATTTTATTACATCATCTATGATTTATTTTAATTACTTTCATTTCATTTTTTTGTTGCAATTGAAAATAGCAGAAAATTTGTCAACTGATGTATCGTCCACATTAATCAACATTCTTGGGTGAGAAAAAATGAACCACCATAGTGCATTTTATACAAATTAACATTTAAGAACAAAGCAATTAACTCTAAACTTCAGCAGCCAAGATTCAGAGAATTGCATCATTGAGGCCTCATGCAAGTAGTCAAGCTGAGGCAAATATGTCAAAGGGTATGGACATTGAATGAGTAGCTCATAAAAATACATGAATTCAGTGCACTTTTGAAGGGGTCGGTCATACATAGAAAGTGTTCTTGCTGTACTAACCTTATCTCACTCGTGCCACTTAAAGTGATGGTAAGCATTTCCAATGGTTTTGCATCCAATGTTAATTTTTAATACTCAAAATCTGAAAAGGTAGAATATAAGATGGGAGAAGAGA